GTATCTTTTCTCATGATTATTGCTCATTTGTATATCTTCTTTAGAGACATATCTTTTCAAGTACTTTGCCTATTTTTGAAGAGTTGTTTTTTTGTTGCTGACATTTAGTACATTGTATATGTTAGATACTTATCTTTTATCAGATATATGATTTACAAATATTTTCTCCCATTCTATGCATTGTCTTTTTATCTGTTGATAATGTCTGTGATACATAAAATTTTTTAATTTTCATGAAGTCCAGTTTGTCTATTATTTTCTTTTGTTGCCTGTCCCTTTGGTGTCACATAAGAATTCATTGCCAAATTCTATGTCATGAAGTTTTGTCCCACATTTTCTTCTAAGAGTTTTATAGTTTTAGGTCTTACATTTAAGTCATGGATCCATTTTGAGTTAATTTTTGTATGTAGTGTTATGTAAGGAGGCACCTTTACTATTTAGCATGTGGATATATAGTTTTCCCAACAACACTTGTTGAGAATACTGTCTTTTCCCCATTTCTCCCATGGATTTTAATATTGGATATATATCTCTGTTTATGTACTATATGTGTATATATGTCTTATACTATGAAAAGAATAAGAGAGGGTTTTTTTTCCCTCCAAGACCAATTTCCTTGGGAGTGATATCACTCCCGTTGAGATTACATAATCTATTCTTACACCAATACCACATTGTAGCTTTATAGTATATCTTGAAATGAGGTAGTATAAGTCCTCCAACTTTGTTCTTCTTTTTCAAAATTATATTGACTATATTTTTTGCATTTACAATAAATTTTAGAATCAGCTTGTTAATTTTTTAAATTTGTGGTGAAATTTTACTGCTGGCCATGATGGAGTCAACAGGGACTAGATTTACTTTTTCACCTAAAGCACGTGGAAAACTGGACAAAACACATAAACAACTTTTCCCCTCAGGCAACAGACAACAGGTAATGAAGAACTGTGGTTCCAAGAGAAGGAAAATAAGTAAACTAATCACATCAACTGACTGCTTTGGGGCACATTCTGAATTGCAGAACAAGAGGAAAGATGTGAGAGAGAGCATAGCAGCCTTGTTGAGTTGAAGAGACAGAGATGAGCGTTAAGGGAGTGTGAGGTGGTTGGAAGGAAGTTTCAGGGAAGAGTTCCAGAGAAGAGACAGCTAAATGGAAAAAAATTTCAGAAATCACCATAGGGTTCCCCATGTGTTTTTGCAGAATACTAAAACCTGCACCCATAAAATTAAACTGTCTGAGCTCAGGAAAAGAGCAATAGATCCATGAGCTAAACTGCTCAGAATTCATACAGGAATGGTATTGTTTCAGTTCCCACCAGCCAAATTGGAGATTCCTCATTGGTTGATCAGGACATTCAGTAGAGCTTACAGAAGGGCCACATTTTTTGGTAGCTGAGCTAAATTATCTATGTAGTAGTGGCTACTCTAGATGCACTCTAAGAGTTCTTAAAAATAAGTCTCCCAAGGATCAAAGTAAAATGCAAATAACAGTCTATCAGAACTAATCCAACACTCTTTAAAGAAAGAAAACAAAATCCAGCACTAAGCAACATAACATCCACAATAACTGGTAAGCAAACAAAAATTCCTAGACATGTGAAAATCAGGAGATAGTGTACTTTATATTCTGTATTGTATGTATACTATACTTCAATAAGAAAGGAGAAAGAAAAAAGAAGAAAGACAAAAGTTTTTGTAAAAAAGTATTATTGGAGTAGCATGGGATCATGCAATAATTATCAAACTTTCAGAATTATCTGGAAGGCTTATCTTGTTAAAACACAGATTGCTTGGCCCAACCTCTAAAGTTCCTGATGGCTAGGTCAGTCAGGGGCCTGAGAATGTGGATTTCTGTCAAGTTCCCAGGTGGTGGTGGTGCTGCTGCTGCTCTAGGGATCACGTGTGAAAACTACTGGGATAGTGTTTGGTTTTAGATTATAGCATTAGTTAGACCTATTAAGCCATTTACTGACTTTGTGATCTTGGTTGCATTTCTTAACTTTCAGAGCCCTCAGTTATTGTTTTGTTTTGTATTTTTTGGTAAAGTAGGGATAATGGTACCTACTTCATATGATTGATGTGAGGATTAAATGATATAG